ATTAAAATTAAATCTCAGTCTCTCTTAAAAGTGTTACAGCCTCTTCAGCTTCCTGAACAAGAACAGTTTGTAAAAAGCTTCTACTTTCCTTCATGAAAGAGACAGCAAACCAGTGACAGTGACACATATGCATTATAAGACAATTGAACATAATATGAAACTTATAAGAGAACACAATAATATAATTTATATCATGAAGCAAAATGATACACAATAATAAAACTTTTGACATTGTTCTTTGGGGAGGAACTATATATTTGAGTTGATCTGAATCTCAGTTGAATCTGCCGGTTTTGAAGATGAAGATGAACTTTATTCACTGTGAAAACTTTAGATAATGTTTCTTTGTCATGTCACTTGTAATGTCTGGTTAGGACAGATTTATCCAGATGATATTTTATTGCTTGATGCATTATTGTGTCACATTTGATGACGCAACATCAGATCTGAAAGAGCTGGATCTGAAGATGATCTACTTACTGTGATTGTTTTTTGTATGTCTGTGTAGAGAAGATGAATGATTGAAACACTTCCCACATGCAGTGCAGTGATACGGTTTCTCTCCAGTGTGGATCCTCACGTGTGTTTTCAGATTTGCTGAATGACTGAATCTCTTGTCACAGTGTGAACACTTGTAAGGTTTCGCTCCAGTGTGGAACCTCTCATGCTGTTTTAAACAGTTTGCAGGTTTGCATAGAAATTATGGTTTAATTGAATGTTCTGTATATTGTCTTTGGGGAAACATGAGAGATAGGAAGCATTTGAAATGGATTGTGATTATGTCCTTTTCATCTGGTATCAGAGGCTTCAAGAAAATGTGCAGTAATAATGTCATAAAGGTTCCCAGGTTTGGCAGACATGTATAGTACATGAACATCATCATCATCAACAAACATCAGACACCCTGTACTTATCGAGTCCAACCTGCAGCTGTTAGTTTGTCCTCCAAACTCGTGCGTCTTCTCCTCAATGTAAAGTCCATCACTTTCTCCAGCTTGGTGGATCATAGTCTCAGCTGGCTGCATTGTGTTTTTCTTAGTGGCCGTGTGTGCTCGTCTCAATCAGCTCCTGAGCTCTTGAATCAGTATATTGTGTACACAAACTCAGGCACTGGCAAGGACTCTGGCTCATACACTCTTAAAAATAAAGGTGCTTCAAAAGGTTCTTCAAGCGATCCCATAGAAGAACCATTTTTGGTTCCACAAAGAACCATTCAGTCAAAGGTTCTTTAAAGAACCATCTCTTTCTTGCTTTTTTGTAATCTGAAGAACCTTCTTTCGCCACAAAGAACCTTTTGTCAAACAGAAAGGTTCTTCAGATGTTAAAGGTTCTTTATGGAACCATTTAGATAAAAAGGTTCTTCTATGGCATCGTGAAGCACCTTTATTTTTAAGAGTGATGATGTAGGTATGGTGTACAGTCTGGGTCCGTCTCCATCATCTTTCAGCAGGTTGACCTGCAATGACATGAAAAGCTTTTTAGCTACATACCACAGGACCACAGCTGGAAAAAGTAGTCAGAAAAGTATACTCCAGTACGGATAACTGAGCAAAAATATGTAATACCCAAGTGTATAAAATTCATATAACAAAAAAACAAAAGAGTTTAATTTCCTACAGACATGATGCGAGATAAATAACATTTCAGCACTAATCATAAAAAATAAGACTTAGTGACATTGATCATGTAACGATCAAAACAAGCTTAAATTAACTAGGGCTGCAACAACTAACTGATGAAATTATTAATAAAAAGCCGGCATCAGAAACAGAAATTTGTGCAGCGCTGCTTTGTATTTGTCAGTTTCAGTCTGTTTCCTCCACAGTTGAATAAGTAATATAAATATAATGTGAGTCATAATAATGAGAAACTTTTTTCATAACATTCATCCCATAATAATCACATACTTTCTCATAATAAGATACTCTGTCACAATAACTTACTTATTACCTCATAATAAAGAGATACTTTTTTTGCAATAATGAGATACTTTTATGTAATAATCAAACACTTTCACTCAATGAGCTATGAAAAATTATCTCATCATTACTATGATATTGACTGTTTCTCATTATGAGATATTACATTATTATGAGAAAGTATCTAAAGTAACCAACCCTAACTATGAAGTCATTATTACGAGAAAGTATCATTATTGTGAGATATTAAGTCATTATTACAAGTTTCTCATTATGAAATGTCATAATAATGAGATATTTTCTCATAATTATGTCTCAGTATTTCATAATAATGTTAAAATGTTGAAGCAGATACCAAGCAAACAACAAAATGTCCTATAAATATACACTCATTGTGGCTGTAAGGAAACAAACGAACACAGAAGAGGCTTTACTGTTCAGCACATAAAGATGAACTGCTTACCGTGATTTCTGACTGTTTTGAATAAAGAAGGTAACTGAACGAACCTCTGCTCACATGGACTGTGCTGATCTGGTTTCTCCACTGCATGGATCTTCATGTGTAATTTCAGGTGACTTTTAACAGTGAAACTCTTCCCGCACTGATCACACGTGTGTGGTTTCTCTCCAGTGTGGATCCTCTCATGTTTTCTCAGATTTGATGACACACTGAATCTCTTGTCACAGTGTGAACACTTGTAAGGTTTCTCTCCAGTGTGGATCCTCTGGTGCAGTTTTAAGTAGTTTGCTGAAGTAAAAGTCTTTTCACACTCAAAGCACATATGAGCTTTTACACCAGTATGTATTTTCTCATGTTTTTTAAATATTGTAGAAGTGAAAAGCTCTTTCCACACAAATGACATGAATGTGGCTTCTCCTTTGTATGAAGTCTCAGACGATTCTTCAGGACTGAAGCCCACAGAAACATTTTGTCGCATTGATCGCATGCGTGCCACTTCTCTCTCGTGTGGATTCTCATGTGTTCTTTAAGATGTGATGATAATATGAAACTCTTCCCACATTGATCACAAGCATACGGCTTTTCTCCAGTGTGGATCCTCATGTGCCCTTTAAGACTTGTTTTTTTTGTGAAGCTCTTTCCGCACTGATCACATGTGAACGGTTTTTCTCCAGAATGAACTCTCATGTGCATCTCTAGATTGTGTTTGTTTGAGAAACTCTTTCCACACTGAGAGCACATGAACACCTTTTCTCCAGTGTGGATGTTCATGTGTCCTTTAAGGCTTGATGAACTTGTGAAGCTCTTTCCACACTGATCCCACTTGAACGGCTTCTCTCCAGTATGGACTCTCGTGTGAGTCTCTAGATGTCGTTTGCTTGAGAATCTCTTTTCACACTGATCACAGATAAATGGTTTCTCTCCAGTGTGAACTCTCATGTGAACATCAAGACTTTGTTTGTGTGTAAAATTCTTCTCACACTGATCACATGTGAATGGTTTCTCTCCAGTATGAACCCTCATGTGACACTCAAGACTATGTTTGGTTGTCAAACTGTTTCCACACTGAGTGCAGGTGAAAGACTTCTTGGCTCTTCTTTTCTTTAAAAATTTATTTTTATTCTTTGAGCGCCTCAAGGGTTTTTCTTCAGGCTTTTCATGATGTTTCTCCTCCACTTCACTCAGTTCTTCACTCTCCTCGTTCTCTTCCATCAGCTCTGAAATGAAAGAAAAAAAATGTTGAGAATGGACATAAGAGTGATGATGTAACAGCAATAAAATATATTGATAATTTTGAAATATGAAGCTCTTTCCACACTGATCCCACTTGAACGGCTTCTCTCCAGTATGGACTCTCGTGTGAGTCTCTAGATGTCGTTTGCTTGAGAATCTCTTTTCACACTGATCACAGATAAATGGTTTCTCTCCAGTGTGAACTCTCATGTGAACATCAAGACTTTGTTTGTGTGTAAAATTCTTCTCACACTGATCACATGTGAATGGTTTCTCTCCAGTATGAACCCTCATGTGACACTCAAGACTATGTTTGGTTGTCAAACTGTTTCCACACTGAGTGCAGGTGAAAGACTTCTTGGCTCTTCTTTTCTTTAAAAATTTATTTTTATTCTTTGAGCGCCTCAAGGGTTTTTCTTCAGGCTTTTCATGATGTTTCTCCTCCACTTCACTCAGTTCTTCACTCTCCTCGTTCTCTTCCATCAGCTCTGAAATGAAAGAAAAAAAATGTTGAGAATGGACATAAGAGTGATGATGTAACAGCAATAAAATATTTTGATCATTTTGATATAAATTAATTATACATCCATTTTCCATAAATGGTGTACACTGATCTTCTCGTTATTGTTAAAACATTAAAATCCCATCTTTCTGTAGTGAGAACTATTAAATAAATTTGATCAATGACACAATTAGCTAATGTAATATTAATATAAAAAATATACAATAGTGCCATAATGTTGATATACTGTATGTATAATCCATAATGCACAAAATGAGTATGATGAGAAGTGGGGAAAAAAAAAACCTACTGTAGAATCTATGGTACACTGAAGAAGTGCTAACCTGCAAATGTTATCTTAGCGATCTATTTCTACCTGATCTAACCCTTAAATTTCATTTTATCACTGTAACCTAATGTATAGGTTAATATTTTTGGGTTGAATAAAATCAAATAAATTAGATGTTACCACAAGAGAAATTGTACATAGTCAAAGAAGAAAAACACTTAAAGGGACTTAAAGGCTTTACTCAAATGAAAACATTTTCATCATCCTCATGACAGCACATGCTGGTTTTGTCTCATAAGGGCTGCAACACACACCAGTTTATGTTCCGTGCTGAGTTATACAGTCGAATCCTCTCATTATAACATACTGAGTGTATATCCAATACAACAGCATCGCTGAGAGATTGTGGTGCCCAGGAACCTGAATGACTCCACTGCAGATTTTGCATACCTCCTGACGAGAAATACATGTCGCAGGCTTTTGCCATAATAATATAATATTTTATAATTAATCTATAAACCTTTCTAATGATTTATAGTCATAAGTAATGTAAAATAATATATTTTTGTCAAATGAAAAATAATATAGTTATTATTATAATTTTGTCATTTTTAAACTGTTTTATATTTGTAATAATGAAAGTTATTACATAATTATACATATACATAATTATTGCTGGACATATTCATATATTAAGCACTAAATTTAGGGCCAAAGTGTGCAGCCCTATTATATATTTTTTATTTGTTTAAAACAAAATCAAATTTTTGTCACATTGATCCACCCCAAATATCTGGCATTGAAAAGATTCATAATGCTGAGTGCATGGAATAATCGTCCAAAGCCTTTCATAAAATTTCCTTAACCCTCAAATGTCCCTCATTTCCTGTTTACAAATCTGGTCTTTGAAATTGATAGAGTAATTGTAAAAAATATATACATTTTTAATCATACAAATAATATTCTATTTTAATTATAATATCTTTTTTTTGTTTACTTCTCATCTATACATTAATGCTGTATTTTGGGAGATATGAAGTACTTTTGTACCTATTTACCACACAATTCCTCAACTACACCATTAGTGTCACGAATCCTGTCCATGGACTTCAGTTCAATCACCACCAGAGGTCACCCTTTCCATTTTCATTGACTCTCGCACTACACACTGTTGCATAGCACCCCGGACTACATATCCCATCATTCATTGCACTGATTGCACACCCAACTGATTGCACACAGCTGTTTCATATCACTCACTCACTATATAACACTCACTCAAACAACCATTCTCTGCCGAGTAATGCTTAGCCGGTTATTATTCCTAGTTTCTGTTTTCCTGCCCGTGTTTCCTTGTTTTGCTTTGCCTTTTTTCTCGGTTTTCCTGGATTTATCCCTCTAGTCTTGCCCCTGTGATTCTGTCTGCCGATCGTGACCTACGCTAGCCCTAGGACTATTCTTGAGTTTTGCCCGCCATATACCTGTTTGCCATTGTTCGACCCTGCCTGTTATGACCACGTATTTTAAATAAAAGCTTGCAGATGGATCCACACATCTCACGTCTCGTCAACCCCATAACAATTAGCTTGCATGTGACATATCACATATTTATGAAAAAACTCACTTAAATGATGATCTAAATTTGATTTAAGTTGTTTCTGGATATTGATCTAGGTGTTAGGTGTAGAATTCTGCCATCTGCTGGTTAGAGAAAAACTTGTAGAAATCACAGTTTTTGAAGTCCCTTCATGCTTCAAACGCTCCACCATCATCCCCATCCCAAAGAAACCCAAAATTACTGGACTTAATGACTACAGACCTGTGGCTCTAACGTCTGTGGTCATGAAGTCTTTTGAAAAACTGGTGCTGGCCCACCTGAAGGACATCACTGGACCCTTGCTGGATCCTCTTCAGTTTGCCTACAGAGCAAACAGGTCTGTGGACGATGCAGTAAACATGGGACTGCATTATGTTCTGCAACATCTAGACAGACCAGGCACTTATGTGAGGATCCTGTTCGT